CCGCTCGACGTCCTGTGAAGTGTGCCAGTGTGTGTGTGTCTGTAATAGAACTAAAGGGATACGCTTGCGCCGGACGATGTCTACCCCATCTTCCCGTTGACTTCGGGTAAGGGAAAGCGGGGCGTGTGCAAGGACAGATGGCAGGGCGTCTCTCCCGGGCCGTGTCGCATGCACTGTCAGTTTCGCTCAGATACTCGGTAAGCGAGTTTCATCGCGGCTTTTCCACGACCGTCGTGCGCACCCCGTCGAACGTCAGAGCAACATCGGAAAGAACGTATACACGCACGTCTCTGCTCATCTACATTCTACAGTGACACGTACGATACTGTCTCAACGATAGAGAAAAATTAGCAGTTATTTAGAGAGAGAAAAAAAAAAGTTCTTTCTCGTTCCGTTGGTTAAATGTATCGATTAAAACGTGAGATCAGTCTCGCCGTTGTCGTTGTCGCCCGTCGCTACGTGGGAAGAATGAAAATCGTCGTGGTAGTTCGATTTGCATAATAGAATATATCTCGGAAGGAAACGAGAAACGGATAGTATCGTCGTCTGGACGAGTGTTCTTCCTTTGTGTTGGTTGGTTACAAAGAACACGGAGAAACAGGGAGGACTGGGAGACGTATAGAAGGCTCCTCCGGCTGTACCATTGGTCAATTAAGCAGTTCACGGATAAAGGCATGTTCTAGCGGGAAGCGGACCAGAGAGCAGTGGTGTCGCGGCGGTGGATGTGAGACAGAACGATGGTGGGGAAAAAGTATCGGGGACGATTTCTATGCATGCCAACGCGTAGATCCCGAATAGTGGAGACATAATGGCGACATCGAGTGAAAAAGCGACAGAAAATCGGATGCTATCGATTCGTGACATACTAGCTTCACAGGGATTTTGATTTATACGTGACTTCCAGAGATGCTGTATAGAACACACGTTCACGGATTATTACGCCATGCCTGGAGAAGATAAACCGAACGTCAGAACGGGATAATTCCGGGGAATAATTGATCAGTGAAAATCGTGTCGTGGAGAAGCGATCGCGAAGACGTGAGAAATTCTTTATCTGCTCGTAGTACATTTGGTACCCTCTGTCCCGTGTTCCCCCCTGTCATTCCTGTCCTGTCCTGTCCCAGTGGAAACCAAGAGAAACTGTGGTGAAAATTTTTTTTGGAAAAAGCGCGACGATTATATCGAGCGACATCGTGGATCGACTATGAGAGAGAGAAATAAAAAATGAAGGGTTTATTTTTTACCCTGAGTCTATTGTTTTCGGGTAAGTGGAAATTCATCAGCCACGTGTTTAACGGTTCAACTCTTTGAGTCTTTTTCGTCCCTCTCTCTCTCCCCCCTCTCTCTCTCTCTGTCTCTTTCTCACTTGCTATCGCGTTGATCGTCGAGCCTTGAACAACGAGGCTTTTCAAACAGTTTAACGGAATTTTTGACGAGAAAAAAATTGGGCGTTCGAAAAAATTGCTCGGTGACGAAACAATAGGCGGATGGTAGAAAAAAGGGGGCAATTTTTCGTGCTACCTTCAATCGTCGGTATTGAAACTTGCGGGCACAAAAGAACGCGTCGTATTTGCTAACACCGAATGGGCAGGTTATGATCGTTGCGTAAAATATAATAAGAGGAGAAAAGATATGTCGGAACGTTCGTTATAATAACGCGAAAAGGAGTGAACGGCGCGATAATGTTATATTTTTTACCGGAACGGTACGTAGACACATACGAAGTGCAAAAGTGACGGCCGGCGATAGCTCACTGCCACATATTATGAGATAAAGTAGTTTCTGAAACTGCAACGTTGAAACTTTACCACCTACTTTAATACTTTATGACGAAGTGTAGCAAGGTCTATGTCCGGGGCGGAGGATAAAGAGAGAGAGAGATATATCGCGGCCTTTTACCGCGTACCACTTCAGGACACGTTAAAATGATTTCTTGCCACTTCTGGACCGTACATCGTGTGCTATGCGAACCAACTCCTCACTTCTCTCTCTCTATCAGAGAAAGAGAGAGAGAAAGAGAGGCTCGCGGTAAACACGAAGAGTTAACGAAATTCCGATAACGAACGACGAAACGTGGCGAGCATTTTCTCTTTCCACTCGTTTCTGTTCGTGGTTCCGCCGTTAAAGCGGCTCCCGGTGCGGCGAAGCACGGGAAATAATCTTTCGGGTCAAAGAACAATCACCGCAATCTAGAGATTGAAACGAGTACACTGAAAGCAGCTTTGTGTATTTATTCGCGTCCCTGTACGAGTGTACGTGTTTGTTTGTTGTTTTTTTTCTTTTTCTTCTTAAAGTGCAAGGACTCGCCTGGAGCACGTCTGATCACGAGATGCACGAGAATCTGGCACTGAAGCCACTCAACCGAGGACCCTACTTCGATGTGTCTGCGTCCAAGAACGTTACAGCGTTGGTTGGGAAAACGGCAACGCTGAACTGTCGTGTCCGGAATCTGGGCGATCGTACGGTAGGTAACGACCCCGTATACCCGTGTTAAAGAAGCGAATCACGTGACCAGCTCGGATGGCGAACGAGATTATCGGCCGTCAACAACGATGGAAATTCAATAACTCCACCGAGATTCTTTCCGTAATTACTTTGGCCGAAAGACTAATACAGCAGCATCGGTAATTCCGTGCGCGTGTTCAATGCACCCAGCGTCGTTTTTAGAAGGGATAAAGCGGCAGGGAGAGAGAGAGAGAGAGAAAGGAAAGGAAAGAGATTAATACGGTGGAAAAAGAACGAACAGAAATCGGACAGCCAGGCGGGCATAATGCAACGGCGGGATACAATTTAAAGTTCGCCCATCAAGAGGTATCTGTGTAACGAGTCGAAGTTCTCCATTGCAATACCGATGGGCGAAACAGAGCTGAAGTTTTCCGTTTTTTATCTCTACTGCCGTTCGTTTTTCCGCTATTCCTCCGCGTTCCCTATTTACCAGAAAAATTTAAGTGAAACAGATACCTTTGCTTTTTTTTGTTTTTTTTTTTTTTTACAATACGCATAGCCCAGCAGTTTCTATTTCGCGCGCGCGGCAGTCTTCTGTTCCTCTCCCTTATCGTCTCTCGGCCTTTTCGTTCGTTTCCCCCACCCTCGACCCACTCTTATTCGCTCTTCGGTTTTTTTTTTCCCGAAGCATCGATAACGTTGCACGGTGTGCAGGTTGTTTTTAGAAAGAAGCTGTCTTTTCTCTCCCCTCCTCTCTTTTATCCTCTCGTTCGTATACCGGATCGAAAGTTTTCTTCGCTTGAGAGGAAGAATTATTACGTTATCCTGAAAAGCAGTGTCACCCGGAAAGATTCACGTGGCGTGTCAGTAAATATGCACGCTCAGCGGGGTTTCATCGAACTACTTATCGGGGGACCTGGTACATAATATATCAGACGCGACGGGCCTGTGCCCCCTTTTCAAATTCAAGTCTGCCCTCTACATACGTGTCTCTTCTTAAAGTTTCAAGCGAACGCTGTAATTCCCATTCAACCGGCGGGAGCCAAATCTTGATTCAGCTTTAATTGCAAGTAACACTTTAAGCTCTGCTTGAATTTTAAATGGCCTCCACAGGCCTGACGAGGCAGTAGGTGGCCTTAAGTAAGTGCGATTTAAAAGCGGACTATGCCCGCCGGTGGCTTTTCATTCGCGCGTGTACACGAGGGTTATTCGTCGTCGTTTCTCGCTCTACCTCCTTTCTCTTTCTCTCTCGCTGATATTCCTTTGTGCAGTGATATACCGACTATCGGTACATCCTAGATACCGATAATACAGTCTATTCAGAAATGTACGTGCGCGCTCGGGTGCGAGAAAACGCGATTTAACGAAGCGGAACAACAAATGGCATTAAACCATCAGCCCGCAATCAATGGCGGCCGCCGAAGGTGTGAAGTACGACCGTTTTACCGGAGTCTATGACTACAGAGTATACATCGAATGATGCATATTCAACGGTGACCGTATAACACACGCACGCGTCGATCGTTGATTCACGTGTGCACACCAACGCAGGCAAAAAGTTTGTCATCGAGAGGTGATAACGTTAATAATTATTTAGTCGACAACAATCGGTGCCCAACTGACGCAAATTGATGTTTGCCAACATATCAGGACGCGTTACACGAACATTAATTACAGTTATCTACCGTTAACGTTGTCGTCCTGCTAACGGCACACTTCTTGCAGCATTTCGTGCACACGCTGTGATAATACGCGTCATCGACACGGAATCTGCATCCGAGCGGTTTTTTACGCGTCAGATAATGCAGAGACACGAGGGAAGGATAGGTTATGCGGTTTTTAACGTACTCGACGAAATAACCACGGTACAATGAATTTGCATCCGTTGTCTGTTTCTCTTTCCACGGGGAAACGCTATTGTTCGAATTAACACACGGAAATAGAACCGTATTAGCTGGTTTTTGAAACATGTCGAGAGCTGTTCAGCGCGTGGAAAAGTAAACATATAACCGTTCCGTATTATCTCGCTTTGGTATACCTGGTGGAATATTAATTAAACAAGCTGATGCTGATCAGATATCAGAGACGGAATCAATTTCCCAACAGTTACACAAGGGAGCGCAGGTTCGATTTCAACTTCAAATAGTTTCGCACGCAAAATTGCACGTGAAACGTCTCTGGTTGTTTCATTATCCAGCCTGTACGATGCATTGGCGCCACTGACAGTCATGCTTGATTCCTTTTGAAAGCAGCTTTGGCGTGCGACTTAGCCTATTAGCGCTCAAAATGCTATTTTATATGCTTAACGTTTGACAGTATGGTAAACAAGCGAACTTACAACAACTAATTAAAGTAACACTGTAACATTACACTATTTACAAATACCACGAAAAGTTCAAATTGAAAATATCATCGATACAGGACACTAAGTGTTGATAGGTTAAGAGATTTACGCTTACTATATTTGTTCAATGCTGCATTTTTTTAAAGTATATATATGTACACACATGTGCAGGTTTCCTGGGTGAGGCACAGGGATATTCATCTTTTGACCGTTGGCATTGATACTTACACGTCCGACCAAAGATTCGTGGCGTCACATTTTCCGGCAACCGAGGACTGGACGCTTCAAGTGAAATACCCACAGCGCCGTGACTCTGGAACCTACGAATGTCAAGTGTCAACGACACCGCCGATCGGTCATTCGATGCACCTCTCGGTTGTCGGTTAGTTTGGAATCTTCTCTCTCTCTCTCCCCTCCTTTTTTTCTACACTTTGTGTTTGCGCTTCGCAATCTTCCCGTCGAATCGGCTGTCACTCTTGTTTCGTTGCGCCCGGGTTAATTTTATTTTCGTCCGAGAACCGTCCGTCTGTCAGGGTTCCCTCTAACCTGATCGTAAGCACACTGTCGCTTGTTCCTACGGACACACATTCTCGCGTACCGAGTGGTTTTCCAATTTCGAATTTACTTTGAATTTCAATTAAACGCGCTTTTTTACTCCCAGGCTCGTAGCCAATTCAAGCGTCACCCCTGTCAACGCGAATTCGAACGTAACGAAGAACAACATGGCGTACGTGTGTGTTTTACGTTTTCCTTACCGCCGCTGTACGTTTAGATTCCCGCGTCGCCTTTTATTTTCTTTCCTCCAACCACGAAAGAATTACTGCAGGACTCTGACTCACCAGAATGTTTTGCTTTCTTTTTTCCGTTGTACAGAACCTGTCACGTCGATCGTCGGGGAACCAGAAATGTTCATAAACAAGGGCAGCACCATGAATCTCACTTGCGTGGTACGTCACAGCCCCGAACCACCGACCGCCATTTATTGGACCCACGATGACGAGGTATTGCACTTCTGATATATGAGCTTGTACGTGTATTAACGTGTCCCGTGTGTGTATGCGTGGGCAAATTATTTTATGCCCTTTCGTGTAAATTATCACGGGAAAAGAAAGAGGCGAAAGTAGGACGGCCAGAATGTTATCGATCACCATTAGCGAGGGGACATGGGATGGTAACGTAACTCTAATTTCGACCCCGCGAACGGAACACCGTCTTTCCCATGTTTTTCCGTACGTGTGTATAGATCGTGTGTTCGTGTGATATCCGGTGGGTGACAACAAATAACACGCAGGAATCTCGTTTAAAAACCGTATGGATTAATGGTAACGACGTTTAACGGGCCATTTTAACAAATTCAATTCGACGTTGGGAAAAGTTTCGAAGTCGTGTCGAAAACGACCAAGCGATAACGATCTAACAGACACACTAGGGGGGAGGGGGAATTTTCCGCGTAGGTATGTACGTGAGTTACGAACATTGTTCGCAGCGACGCAGGGCCGTAGTTACAAATGGTCGTATCGAGTCATTGATTATATAATTTCTTCCCTAACTAGGTTAAAGGAATATTTGAGGAAACTCCGAGCAAGGTTACTTTTCCGTCTCTTTCCTTCTTTTTTTTCCCTCACTTCTCTCAGCTCACCTTCTTTCTCTCGCTCTCTCTACCGTCGAGTTCGTTTTTCGATTTTTAATTCTCCGCCCGAGCTCACTAACGAGTATCCTTTATACGCGTATTACCGGCGAAGCGAGCAAATTCCGCGAATAGAATCGAAATTATTCAAATTGTAGTTTATGAAATGAATTATTCAATTATTTCCCGAAGAAGCGGTCGCCGTACAGCCGGCATACGGAACGAGGAACCGCGGCTCGTTCGTGTCTTTACAAATTTACGCCCCTTGCTGAATTTTGATTGCGTTCGAATTTCTGAAAACTCTCTCTCTCTCTCTCTTTCTCTCTCTGTGTCCTCTCTATCCACGATTCCTTCTCCCTCGATCGTACGAAACTTTTTACCTTTTATTTCCGTTGTATCTATACGGAATCAGGTAGTATTCAATTACCGGGTACCCGGATTCATTCTCCCTCTTACCAGAGCATTTTGTATCATTGATATTCACTTAGCGGCGTCGTTTTATTATTCATTTCATTACCAAATCTTCCCCTTAACCAACTTCTAACGCCCGTTGCCTATAACAACCCCCCAGTAGTATCACAGGCCAGGGTTCTCTTCACCTCGAGGCAATGAATAAAACTATCCACCTATACACACACACTTCCCTGCCTAATATCTGCTGCTATCAATTCCTTCCCCCTCCCCATCCTCGTGCAGTTACTTTTTCTCGTTTTTCTACTCTTCCATGAATTCTTTGGACACGGACTCCCTTTGTTTCTCACCTTCTCTACATTCTTTTCTACAATTCCACCTGATTTTTTTACTTCTTTTTATTTCCTTCTCTTCCTCTATCTCTTGAACTTCCTCCAAACCAGGCTGCTGTTTCCCCCCTGCTCCTTTATCACTCTATCCTTCTCCCGTTCGTTCTACTTCATTCTATCCTCTTCTCTCTCTCTCTCTCTCTCTCTCTCTCTCCCCCAGACGCATTGTCTTTTCCGTCCATCCTTCTTAAGAGTGTCAGTTCTCTCTGGCAGCTGGCTCTTTGTGTACCACCGCGTCTGTCTTTACAATTCGCAGCCTTCCACTGTCTTTCACGCATTTTTACTCCCCCCCCTCCTCTCTCTCTCTCTCACCGGTGGCCATTATCTCTGTCACCTTCCCTGCAACACGCCCACTTTCGCGCTCTATCTTTCAGCCTTCATGGCGCGCACAATTTTCCATCGTCTCCTACACCCTGTGTGTCCCTTTCCCTCTCTCCCCCCGTCCCTTCCCGTTTTCATCTTTTCTATCCTACCGTCTCCATCCCCCCACACCCGTCCCCCGTTTCATCGCTTTTTCTACCCTATCGACTTTACACTGTCTCTCTGTCCTGTCTTTGTCGCTCTATCAACCCGTGCCTCGTTCCACGCAACCACTCCTCTCCCATTCCCCCCTTCTCGCAGTCGTTATTTATCTCGCCTATTCCCCTTCAAACAGGCTGCTTCTGGTGTATATCTGGCTGTCTTTCTCGCACCCGTATCCCCCCTTCGTTCAACGGCAGACAGTGTGTCAACACCTGCAACGCACACCCTCTGGGTCTTGGCGTTGTTGCCTTTCTTCTCTCTCGTTTTTTTTTCTCTCCCTCCTTCCCTCTCTCAGTTGTTTCGTTTTTTTTCTCTCCCAACCCTTCCTTCAGTACCTGCACCTTTATTTTCCCCCCTTTCCCGCACAGTGCATCCTACCCACGCATACACACACACACGTCCTCGTCCCTACCGCGTTCCGTGTCTATTTTTTCACCCGTTTTCCGCTCCTTGCCCCCTTTCCCGCACAGTGCATCCTACCCACGCATACACACACACGTCCTCGTCCCTACCGCGTTCCGTGTCTATTTTTTCACCCGTTTTCCGCTCCTTTAAATTATTCCCCTCTCTCCGTCGTTCTCTTGCACCGAATTGCTAGAATGTTGAAGCCTTGATGTATACTACAATCCCCCGGTTCGTTCACGGTATTTACACGTAGGAATTTTCCGAGTGGAATTATTTGTTTTGGAATTTGTTAGTCGTCGCGGTGAATCATACCGCGAGAGTAATTTTCAAATTTTCTTACCTAAGAGTGCATATATCGCGTATACAGATTAACAACGATCTATCGTGAGAATTAACACGTTACACGCAATGCGACGCTTAGTAGTGAACGTGTTAAGAGAGTTTATTTCTCCGAGTTGGTAAGTTCCAAAGATCTCTCAACGGATATTTTCATCGCCGTTGAAAATCGATCGCAAGAAACCATACCGTTCTTCCTCGAAGCAACTTCTCTAATTACACACCCCAGCCGTCCAGAGATACAAACCCGCGTCTCGTGTTTCACAACATCGCCCCCCCCCCCCCTCTCCTCTTCTGCCCCACCGTGCACATCTAGCCACTCGTTCCTGTTCAACGGTTAGGCGACGGGACCGGGCTTCTTTTTACATTATTTCTCTCCGTCGCGTCGCTCGATATCGTTCCTACTCTATTCAATAAGGCAATGAATCAATTAGCCAATAAAAAACTTTTCCACTCCCACCTCCACCTACCTCATCTCTTCTTACTTTTTTCTTTTTTTCGAGCCTCTCGTTCTATCCGAGTTCCTAGCGTTCTTTTTTACCCGTCGCAACTTCGTCCAGTTTTACTCCTTGCCCGTCCCCAACTCGTCCTTTTGTTATTTCTACCCCGGTCCAGGCCAGCCCTTAAGGCGGGTTTGCACCAGTAGTTTCTCTTTCACGATCCTCTCGACGCGTACCGCGACGGAGGGGCGACCGTGCAGAATGATCGAATCGTTTTTTTCTTTCTCTTCTTCTTCTTCCCACTTACTCTTTTTTCCCTCGTCTCCTTTTCTCTTTGTCCACGAGACTTATGAATCAATTTCTTAATCACTCGATTACACCGGCGTATCTGGCCGTCTTTCCGGTACAGACTCCTTTTTTCTAGCAGAGCCTATTACGACTTCTTCTCCTACTTCTTCTTCTTATTCTTCTTCTTCGTCTTCTTCGTCGTCGTCGTCGTCTGAAACTGCTTCGTTAAACTTCCACGCGGAGAACTGGTCGTTTGGTCCGATGTTTCTCTTATTTCCAAGCTCGCGACGTCCCTTTGTTAGTTAAACATAAGTTTGTACCCCACCGCCATCTACCAGTTTGTTCGTTGAAGCCTCTTTTTCTTCTTTTTTTTTTTCTGCCCGTCAGGTTTTACGCGTATTTCTTAGGCAAAAGAGAGATTTAAAGTTGCGCAGTTTTCATTCCATGCTTGTAATTTTTCTTTACCATTTTTTTTTTCTTTTTTTCTCTTTACCTTTTTGCGTTTTGTTTCTTTACGTTGATACAATTGTAACGGACTTTGTTTAATTGGGAGAGGATTACGGAGGGAATCGGGAATTTTTGCACGAGGACGTAGCGAGATTCGTTTTACAAAGGGATGATGCACGAAATACGCTTTAATGAAGCAAGAATGGCTGTAATAACGGTGAATAACGACGCGGCGTTTTTCTAGCGAAACCGGTGGCGTTTGGTTGCACCGCGATACGCCACTCTTTCGCGGAATTTCCGTCGGATATTGAACGTTCTGGATAAAAAAAATAAAGTTGTACGTGTATTTTTAACGAGCGTTTAACTAAGACCGTTCATCGAACACGCTGTTCGAGTTTCGCGTTTGATATCAGAAGCTTTGCCCCGCTTTAGTTAGATCGAATTTTTGCAAATCAAGACACTTTCCCCTGGAATTTAATAAGTTTTATAGAAATATTTTAACGAGCAGGAAGTGTGTAATTGTGCTTTCTAATTAAATGTTTCGTGTCTTGCTTGACTAATATTAATTTTAGAATCAGTTGGAAATGTTTGTAGACAATGAAATCTCTTTAATATCGCAGGATTTAATTAAACAGTTTAATCAAAGAGAAAACATCGTACAGTGTTTTTGCTAGTAATTAATAATTCCTTGGGTACAAATATTTTCGGTACTTTGTCAATTTCTGTAATTTTATTTTGTTTACACTGGCTTTTTATACTGAGATAGAAACATCCTTTGGACAATAAGGAATTAAATACAGAATATCTATGATAAATTCGTACAAATTTCTATATTTTTGGTTTAAACCACCTCCATAATCACTTCACTTATTACCCTTTGCCTCCAATTACTCCTGTTAAACCAATTATTTCAATCCACCACTTTTCACCCAAAATCTCGTTGAACCCGAAACTTGCCCCCGATACGTTTGATTTAAATCACCCACGTAATCTGTTCATTTTATTATCATATATTTCTACCTGCTCTCCTGTTAAACCACCATAATTTCTCAATATAAACTTTACACCACAATATCTGCCTATTAAAAACATTTTACCAAATTCATTAATCCATTCAATGTTTTCTTTATACTCGA